GCATGCTTCTGTTTCCATACCAATCTCATTATATATCACATTTAATCCTGTAACAGCTCCATTGGGTTGGGGGTGGCATCAGTATGCTGTGGCAAAGTAACTGAAGATCAGAAGACATAGCAACTATAGAATGGGGGCAGCAGTTGAAGCCATTTCAAGTTAAGAGCTCTTTTTTTTAACTATCATAAAATGGCAATAAATAAATAAATAAATAAATAAATAAATAAATTGAAAGCCTGAATAACAGGCCCTGGCTAATTTTAATTTTGGTTTTAGTCTGCCTTTTGTTTCCATTTTGAAAACATAAAGTAAATGGTTAACGTTAAAATTCCTGACAATGTCAAAGCAACAAGTTTTATTTCTCTCACCTGTGGAGGAAGTGGCCTCCACCCAGCTTGACTGAATGAGGAGGGAAGTGATTTTTTCAAGTGATAAAAAGAAATAAAATTCCATGCTCTTCCCACAGGAGGGGTTCAACAATCGGGAGAGAGGCGTGAGACCATGTGTTGGTTTGCAAAAGGATATAACTCGTAAAGATGTTTCCTTTGATGCCCGTGATGGACATGGATGTGTTTCCCTTCCAGAGGGTCCTGATTGAAATAAGCAATTAAGACTGGAGCTGAAGGATCTAAATATAGGGAGAGAGTTCATACGGTACATCAGCATGCCCCACAGATGTGACCGCTCTTACAAACAGCACCTGCAAGTTCAGAGGAACAGACAAGTGTTCGGAACGAAGCTAGGCAGTGGGCATTGGAAGGGAAGGGATGGGTTTTCCTCCTGTACTCAAATCTCTTTGCATCTATGGGTTTCTTATTTAAATTACTTGGTTTTTAAAACCTTGCTCTTTTTTGTTTCATTTTGTTTTTTGAGTCAGGGACTCACTATATATCCTCTAGTTGGCCTGGGACTTATGAGGTAAATCAGGCGGGCCTTGAACTAACTCACAGAGACCTGCCTCTGTCTGCTGTCCACCACCAAGTCCAACGGCAAACTGGACTTCCGTATAGGTCAGTGCTGGCTAAAGTGGAGGGATCAGTGTGTCCAGAGGCGTCAAACTCTGAGACAGTCGGATCCTGGGAAGGTCTGTGAGATGTAGCCACATCTCTCCAGGCTCACCTAACTGCACTGCTTCTGTTATGACAAGTCAGGTGTTACTCGGCATTTGGGGGACTTTGTCCCATTTAGCCTTCTCTGCAGTCTGTAAAATAGCTGTTCAAGATAGTGATTCAAAGAGAATTGTGGCTTGTCGTTTGTAGTTAGATGACTAATGGGCTGTCTCTCCTGAATTTCACTTGGTGGGCTTTTTCAGGGGAGGCTGTGTGACCTGAATCTGCCCAAGGTCCCTTAGAGCTGATTAAGAGAAACAGCCCAGTAGGGTTTAGGGGAAATATTAAGAGATGAAGAAAAAGCAAGTCTGGTGGTTGAAGTTGGGCACAGTAAGGAAACTTTGAATTGGCATCAGTTTCCTCAACCAAAAAAGTAATTATCTAAGGAGATTAAAACATACCCTGAAACTTGCTGTTCTTTGGGGAATATAGGAGGCATGAGCTAGTGCCCCATTTGGGGCTCAGCGCGTCAGGAAAGGATTTGTGTGTATGGAAGGAGGAGAATGAGTTGCCTTTTCTAATACAGGCAAGCTACATTGAGGCACATACCTGATCATCTAAATATATAAACTGCAATGGTATCCTGAGAAGCCCTATTGTGGTGACATCCACAGATTCTTTGTCGTTTTTTTTTTCATCAAGGGGGACACTGCTTTAGAAGTCATTTGCAATGTCACAGGCCTCTGTAGGTTTGAGAGTGGTAATGTGAGATTCACACTCTCTCTGCTGATTTCCAGGTCTTCTACCTAATCAACACTCTGCAGAGACCATATGGCAGCGCCTGCTGGCCTGTCACACTGAGACTGGAAAAGGCTGTTAATGCTTGGACATTAAAAGCACCTGGTCTGACCAAGCTCTCTGGGCTTGCTTTTCCACTGCCTGCTACCCCCCTTCACTCCCCACGGGGGAGACTCCAACTCTGGAAAGATACACTTTCTTAAATGAAAGCAAGGTCAACTAGATACTCCTTCATCAATCCGTGATTGACTGGGAACAGATGAGAGTCCAGTGGTCTCTGAGCGTCTTCATATTGTTTTCTTATATAGGAATTTTGTACAAATATTTTTTCCTGGGGCTTCACTACAAGTTCATTTTAGCCTAACTTTCTGGCAGTGAAATAAAGTCTTTAAAACATGCACCAAGGGCCAGAAAAGGGTTCAGCAGGTAAAGGTGCTTGCTGCCAAGCCTGGTAGCCAGAGTCCAACCCAACCCATGGTGGAAGGAGGGAACTGCTGAAAGTTGTCCTCTGACCTCTGCATAAGCAAGGTGTCATGTGCACACACACACACAATAAATACGTGTTATTTAAAAAAACCAAACAAACAGAAGGAATATTGAGAGGTTGTATAACCCCCAGTTTCCCCTTGTTCTGGGATTTCTTTGCTATTTTGATTGGCAGAAAGTCTTACTTGCCTATGTCTGACCCTCGCTCTTAGGGGAGTGCTGAGAACTGATTGCTGGCTTAAGTGGGAGCAATGAGCAGGTAGTTCACTGTTTCTGCTCCAAGAATGGACCCTTCCGATCACAAAGAACCAGATCATAGCATTTCAGTTAGAAGGTGTTTTCTGAGTGAGGCCCACTCTCATTTTTATGTTTGTGTAATGACATTGAATTATATAGCAATTTTAACTTATCTTTTTTTCCTGCCTGCCTTACTGTTTTCTTCAACAAGAGTATTAACTTTTCCCACCCGACAATTGTCTTGTACTTGTTGGGGAAGGGGGATAAACATGCCAGTCTTTAATACAATCCACTTTTTTTTTTTTTTTTTTTTATAATCTGTAGCCTTAGCTCAGTCTCAGAAAGTAGACTAGGCTGGCTTTGAACTCAGAGATTCACGTCACTCTGCCTCACCATTCCCCTCACCCCTTTAACCTTTCTGGGGCCCCAACCTATAGGAAGGGCTGCCCACAATCAGGGCAGGGCTTCTACCACCCTCGGTTTATCTTCTCTGGAAACTCCCTCACAGATAGGCCCAGAGGTGTGGGTAATTAATTTAGGTATTTCTTAACCCAATCTAGTTGACAATCAAGATTGATTTACCAAAGCTGGTTATCTGTTGGGTGATGGGTGTTTGGCTATTTCTGGGAAGTCCTTATGCTGGGCCATTCCATGGAGGTTCTAATGTCTGGCTTTTTTGTTTGTTTGTTTTGTTTTTCGAGACAGGGTTTCTCTGTGGCTTTGGAGGTTGTCCTGGAACTAGCTCTGGAGACCAGGCTGGCCTTGAACTCACAGAGATCCTCTTACCTCTGCCTCCCAAGTGCTGGGATTAAAGGCGTGTACCACCTACCCCTGGCTAGGGTTGTTTTTTTTTTGTTGTTGTTGTTGTTTTTTGTTTTGTTTTGTTTTTTTATGTTTTATGTTACTCTTACTAAGCTTGTGAAAAAGAAAATTTCCTTACAGCCTTTGTCTTATAATTCTAGTCTTCTGTTAGGATATTGTTTCTGTGTAAGAAATTAAATGTTTTTAAATCCATTTTAGAATAACAAAAGTTACATTGTAGGCCCTGGTGTGCTCCTCTCTGTCTCCTCTTTGATGTTCTGGTTTACTTATTGCAGAGGAAACAGAATTCTCCTTGGGCGGTGAATTGGATGCTGGAGTAGGTTAGCTGCTCCTTTCCCTCAGGTCACTCTAGACCAGTGGCTCTCAACCTGTGGGGGGTGACCCCTGGGCGAATGAGCCTTTCACTGGAGACCATCAGAAAACACACATACTTACATCACAACTCAGAACAGTAGCAAAGTTACGGTTATATAGTAGCAGCAAAATGACTTTATGGCTGGGGTCATCACATTATGAGGAATTGTAGTAAAGGGTATAAGCATCAGGCAGGTTGAGAGCCTCTGAGTGGATCTCTCGGGGATGTATGCTGTTGTGATGTCCAGGGTCTATGGCCAGATGGTATTTTATATTAAAACTAATGAATGAGGTAGGCCTACAAGCCTCTCTGTGAGTCTTGATTGTTCTGTGTGCCCACAGGATCCTTCTGTGTAAAACAGTGGCCATGATGTGGTCTGAAGCAGGCCCAGTTGATTTATTAAGTTACTAGAAAATACTTTCCTTAAAAATATGGATCAGACAAAATCTTTATGAAGATTTTTCCTTGAATAACCTACTCAGATGTTAAGCAGTTTCAAAGTTAAGTTAATTAATACCCTATCCCTTTGTTCGGCTCGGTCTCCTTGACCTAGTGATATTGTGCCGTTAGTGAAGAGGAAGGAATGGCTCGTGATGAGCACTTACCTGTCAGTTACTTTTTAAAGGTAGTGTGAGCCTTCAACTTTATTTTTCTCAGTCACTTTCTGACAGTCTTACTAGAAAATTCAATTATCCCCTCAGTAAATACGGAATCATGCTTTTTGGCCAGCCCACTGGTTTCTACACCAGGGTTAGAACTGGCCAAGCTGAGTCCTTGATTCTCTCATTTCTCCACCTCTTATTAAAGGTCTCTCAGGCCTTCCTACCTGTGGAGATGGACTGCAGGGCTCTGAGGAAACCCAGAAACCTCTGTAAACTGCACATTTCCCTTCGCTGCTTGCATCATCAATGGTTACTTCCGGCACCTAACTCAGTAGGGCACTGGGGAAAGAGCTCTGCTCTGTTGTTGAAGGGGAGCGTAAATGTTTCATGCCAGTGCCTCTGTGTATGTCAGAGGACATTGTCAGTGTCAGTTTTATCCTTCCACTTTTATATGAGTTCCAGGTATCAAACTCGATTGCCAAGATTGAGGGCCACGACCCAGAGAGTCATCTTGCCTGCCCAAGATCCATTTTTTAAAAAATATCCGCTGTTGGTTGAATCCACAGATCCAGAACTCATAGTTGTGGAGAGTCAACTGTGTGTTGACAGTCAACTACTGAGGGAATTGGAGGCTTTGAAGGCAGAGACTGCAGGTGCCGATATTTACCCAGTTGAGTAATTTCGTGTTTCTTTACTAGATGAAATGGGGATAAGGAAACTGTCCATTGTACAATCGGCTGATTCTGTTTCCTCTAATACAAAGCAAATTATTCAGCAATTAAATTTCACCCTTCAATGATAAAGAAGACCCCATAAGTTTCAAAGTTAGCATTCAAAGATGACTGCTGTAATGTTTGACATGGCTTCTAGTGGTGCCCGTTGAAGTCCTTGTGACAGAGTTTCTAGGAAGTTCTGAATGAAGAACCATTTTTAAATTACCCTTTTATTATTTCTGGAGCTGGGTCACACTATCAGCCCAGTTATGTGTGTGGGGATACATGTGAGTGCAGTACACACAGAGGCTTGAGGCTAGAGATGTTGGATCCCCTGGAGCTGGAGGTCTCACTTGTGAGCCACTGGATGCGGGTGGGTGTTGGGAACCGAACTCCAGGTTCTGCAAAAATAGAACCAGCTCTTAACTACTGAGCCATCTCTCCTGGTCCTCACCTCATCCGATTTCTGAGTACAGAGTACAGGCAGCTTCAGCTCTTGAAGTGTGCGTGCGTGCGTGTGTGTTTCTGTCGTTTAATCGGCAAGCATTTTCATAATGAATAATTTTTTCAGTAAAGGCCACTTGGAGAGTTTGGGGACATAGGTGGCATTTCTAGTGTGTATTATTGTGGGCACACTCACCTTGTCTTGCTCTCATGGTGGTGTCTGTTTTTCAGCAGAGGCTTCTGAGCATAGCTTCAAAGCTGATGCAGTCCTCACAGTGGATGTGTGTATAGTTCATTATCTTCCGGTTATAAATAATTCTGATGAAAATCTTGATGTGAATTTTTTTTTCCTCTTTCCAGTTTAGAATATTCTCTGCAAGTAAATCTGACTTCTTACAAGGTGGCTGAGGGCTCAAGAGTTTTTTTGTTTTGTTTTTGGTCAGTGTGAAATGTTTGTGTTTGCACAGGAGGGAAGCAAATCTGTGCTGACTCATGTTTTTATGTTGCGCTTTAAATTGATAAGGCCACTTAGCTTCTGACATAAACTAAGGCAGGAAGTACAAAAAGGGACAGAAAAAATCTGCTTGTGTTTCCGAATCGGTAGAACTCATTTTTTGAGTTCCTTGTGTGAGGTGGGTTCCCTGTTTGACATGCACCTGGAAAAGCCTTAACTCTCAGAGGCACACAAGTTAGTTGTCAAGCCTGTATCTTTTTATGGCTGTCTTGATTATATTCCTAGTCTTGGAATCTTTTTGTTTTAATTATTGTGAGTGTCATCCAGACCTTGACTGCCTGGGCGACGACTGTCCTCCCAGCGTGGTGTGTGCAGGGGGCCTGCTTCCCTGAAGCTCCTACCTTCCCGGTGATGCTGAGTCACCTCCCGGTGTCCACAGGCTGACACAGAAGGTGCAGGTACTGTCCTCCCCAGTCCTGCTGCTGCTGCTCTGGCTGTTGTTACCTCCACAAGGGTTGACCCTTTAGGAGTCCTATCCCACAGCTAAGTACAGTAAAGGACTGTACTTTAGCAGTCTGTGCAGTAGAGTTAGGGAAAGGGGTTCTGTCTCTCACAGATGAACATGGGGCATGGAACAAAACATTTGATTTTTCACAATTTTACTTCCTCCTGTTTAGTGAAGAAAATGGAAGTCTTTTCAGAGTTTGTTGGTAAGATTAAACTGGGGGATAGGAAGTGCTCAGAATGTCTGTCATACTCTGTTGGTTTGCAGAATTCTCCTTCATGGGCTGTCTGAGGCTTCCTCTTCAGAAAAACTTCCCGAAATTCCTGGAGTTAATTCTTCGCTCCTCTTTGTCTTTTTCTATTCTGTGTTGGTATTTGACTTCATCTATTCAAGCCTCTGTGCCAGGTAGTACTGTAGCTAGTGATACCCCAAGATCAAGCCTGACAGTTGGGGTGCTTCCTCCTGTGTAGCATCTTCCCCACTGGCCCCTTAGAAGGGAGAAGGTAAACTCTCCCATGGAGAGTTCAGAAACTTTGTTCCTGTGACTGACCCCCCTCCCAGAGGGGACACCTAATACTATAAGGAGTTAGGATTTAAAGGTGAGGCTTTGGGAACATTCACACAAGTATCAGCCTGTACCCTGGTTTCTGCATGTTTAACAACAGTTACCAACCACATCGTGTTCCCTTGGTACTTGGTCAGCATTCCTTCTGGATGAGGCCCCGGAGCAGCAGAAGAGGACAATGCAATAGCCATCTGCTCCTTGGAGTTACTTGGATGTTTGTGCCCTGCTTCTTGCCTTAAACATCAAGCCTCTTCAGAGTTTTCTCCTCCCCCCACCCCACCCCCATGCCCTAGTTCCAGGCATTTGGGATAGCTGTTTGCAGGGGAGGATGAAGATCCAGAATGGTGGCTCCTAGGTACCCCAACACACTTACTTCATATAGTGCACCCTCGTCAGAAAGCAGCCTGCAAGTGATTTTGAGATAAACAAGCCCTGCCATTTGAAAGTCAGTGATTAAAATATTAAAAAGCTATTTTGGGGGTAAATAAAAAGGGCTGGAGGAAACTCAGAACCTCTCTCTAATTTGCTTCTGGAGTCTGGGAAGAAGCGGTCTTTCCAGTTCTGGGGGTAGTGAAGTTTTACTGAATAGTGAATTACCATATCAATTGGTGCGTGCTAACCCGGTGTGACTTCTGATAACAGCGTAACTTTGTTTTCTCTTTTCTTTCCTGCTAAATGAAAACTTCAAAATAACTAGTAAATTAGGGTGAAGCTTTTTCAAAAGGACAAGTAGCTCTATGTTGAATGAAGTTGAGCCTTTTTTACCCTTGGGGGAACTTAGGGAATGTGCAATCTTTTCATCTTAGTCTAAGTTTTCTGGAGCCCAGTCATCAAACATTTACTGAGAATCCGTCTGTACCAGGCACCATGCTGTGCTCCAGATACACTAACTGTGAGATGGAATGGCCAGGTCGTTTCCTCCAACAAGGAAGCCGGAAGTGCAGACTATCCCAATTCGCTACAGTGACCATGGTCTCTATTGTTTTAAGAATGAGGATCAGGAAGATTGTCCCCAATTTATTCCTATTATTGGTCATTTGTGATTTTCTGATTTATTGATCACTCTTGCTAAGAGATTATACAATTTTATTAGTGTTTTGATTTTGCAGGTTTTCTCTACTATACTTAAAAAATAATTTTTCAATTCCTTGTATTTTCTTTGGGCTTAAATCACCGTCCAACTCTTCAGACTTTTTTCCTCTCTCCCAGTAAATGCATTTTAGCTATAAACATTCATATAATTACTGCATGTCACATCTTACTTACTCTATATGTTTATTTTTTGTTTTTTAAGACAGGGTTTCTCTGTGTAACCCTGGCTATTCTCTGTAGACCAGGCTGGACTTGAACTCAGAGATTTGCCTGCTTCTACCTGAGATTAAAGACGTGTGCCACCACTGTCCAGCTATATCTTAATATTTTTATGTCATTTTTTTATAATCATTCAGTTAAAATGTTTCATCTCTACTGTAATTTCTTCATGACTCATGTTTAAAATGTGGTTACTTCTAATAACAATATTATTGTTGATTTCTTAGCTATACTGAGATGTTAATTATTGCTGTTTGTTACTTGTGGTTGTGTGCACATGTTGCAGCTATCAAGAGTTGTCCATCTTGGTTGTTTTGTTTGTTCATTTTCAAGGCCTAAATCTTGCCAGCTGGTCTAGGCTGACCCGCCAGCAAGAGACCCACCTGTCCCCTCCTGGGGCTGGGGTTAAAAGCATGCACCACCACTTCTTGCTCTTAGTGTGGACTCTGAGTACAGGACTCAGGCCTGTACAGGCAGTCAGTCACTCTAGGCACTAAGTAGCTCCTTTGCCCCAAATACTGTATATTCCAAATGACTTTACTCGTTTACATGCTGGTTTCCATATAAACTGGGTCACGCATTTACACTTTTCTCTTGTGTCTGTCAGTTAATAGGTCATTCTCCCACAGGATTGTGGGTTGGAATCATTGTTGTTTCATTTTTTTTTTTTTTTTTTTTGCAGTTTTCTGCTTGGTGTCTGTTGAGGCTTGTCACTTGCATATACATTTGTGGTGGTAATATGCAAATTGCCTGAGTGATAGCTGTGCCCCAAACACTGACATGACCTTTGTCCAGGGCACGGTGCCGCTCTGAGTAGTCTGTTCTCTTCCTCTTGTAAGACCGCCAATCCTGTTGCCTTCAGGCCCCACCCTTATAATCTGATTTAACCCTGGTGAGTTCCTTAGCCGCTCCAAGCTCAAGTGCAGTGGGTTTCAATGGGCACTGGAGCTTTAATGCATGAGTTTTAGGAGAACACAGTTCAGCTTCTGGCATCATAGAATACACATTCTCACGAGCTTAGCCTGGGGTTGCATCTCGGTAATAAAGTCACTGAAGTGTGAAGCTGAGCAGTATTAGCCAGGGACCACCCGTACAGAGAGACTTAAGTGCTTAGTATCTGGCACTTATCAGTTTAATTGTGGTGTGTCTAGAGGTGATTTTAAAGCCAGTTTCCTATCCTTTCTTTTTGCAGGTGCTAACTTTGGGTCCCTTCTTGGAATAGGAGGAAGAGCCGTTCTCTACTTTTCAGAACTACAGAGAAACTAAAGAGAACCGATGTAAATAAGCTGAACTCTCTTCTGGCCTCTCCCCTCTCGAGACATCACCACTTCACCCTGTGAGGAGCGTGAAGAACTAGACCAGTCACTATGAATGTAACCAGCTTGTTTTCCTTCACAAGTCCAGCTGTGAAGAGACTTCTAGGTTGGAAACAGGGTGATGAAGAAGAAAAATGGGCAGAGAAAGCTGTGGACGCTTTGGTGAAAAAATTGAAGAAAAAGAAAGGGGCCATGGAAGAGTTGGAGAAGGCCCTGAGCTGCCCGGGGCAGCCAAGTAACTGTGTCACCATTCCCCGCTCCCTGGATGGCAGGCTGCAGGTGTCCCACCGGAAGGGATTGCCTCATGTCATTTATTGCCGAGTGTGGCGCTGGCCGGACCTCCAGAGCCACCATGAACTGAAGCCTCTGGAGTGCTGTGAGTTTCCTTTCGGTTCCAAGCAAAAGGAGGTGTGCATCAACCCCTATCACTATAAGCGCGTGGAGAGCCCTGGTGAGTGGGGTAGACTGTTTGTGCCCGGTGAAGCCTGTTGAGACAAGAGCAATAACACCTTTCTGTTGTGGGGTGTAATTCTAAAATATTTGGGGGAAGTTTTTGTGTATTCATACATGCGTGTGCAAAAGAGCACAGGAACTCTATCTAGTTAGCCTTTGCCGACTGTAACAAGTGTCTGTAACAATCACTTTATAAAGAGGAAGGTTTACTTTACTTCGTGATTTTGAAAGTATCAGCCGTTGGCCCCATTGGCTCCAGGGCTCTCTGTCCTGTAGCACTATAGCATCCTGGGGTAGAATGGTGGCAGAGCAGAGCTCATGTCACAAGAGGAAGGGGCTGGAGCCCTATGGTTCCCTGCAGTGACTAGCAGACTTCCCGCTAGGCTGCGGGGACAAGCCTTCAGCACCTGAACATTTGGGGGTACATTCCAGTCCAAATTTTAGCAGTCCTGGAGTATTTCATACATATTAAAAGCCTCCTTCCTTCTAAGTGACTTTGTTTAGACTCAGGTTCTGAAAATTGAGTTTTGTGTCTGAATTCTCTTTCTATGGTTCACATTGGTTCTGTGTGTCTTTTTAGCAATTTAGCTGTGCAGTGTGTCAGCGGACAACAGAAGCACAGGGTCTTGTCGCCTGCACTGAAGGCAGTGTGGGGCAGCTGTGACCAATGCTACTTCATGTTTCACGACAGCGCTCTTTGTCATCTGTATTGAAGTGTGCATGTGCTGTGGTGTGTTCCCTGTGGGCTATGTCCTGTTGTGTGAGGAAATGATGCTGTTACTTTAAGATATCTCAGTCTTTACATGTGTGGCATTGGGCTATGGTAAAGGCTGGAGTCGGCCTCTCTCATCTGTGGATTCTGCAGATATACATAGAATCAGCTGCAGATGAAAATAGTTAGAAAGAGAACTCTGTCTCTACTGAGCAGGCCAACTCTTCCTTTCTGATACTTTCTCTTTCAGTTTTGGTGGTTGAAAAACTCAGTGGACTTCATTCTTTCTGGGGCTCAGAGCCCAGGAACTCTTGGGGGGGAGGGCCTGCTTCCTTTTCAACACCTCAAGCCTCTGACTAGGTACCATGGCCACCACATAGGGATCAGAGGTGCTTGTACCTGACACTGCCAGGGTCACCAGTGCTGGAGGTCCTTGTATAGGTTGGCTTGCTTTGGCCTGACCTCAGCTTAGTGACCACCACAGCTCTGCCCCTCCCATAGTCTCAGGGTTAATCCGTCCATTGTTCTGGAAGGAGTCCAGGACCTTGAGAGGTGATTGGGCTAGGTGCTATGTGGCCGCTTGCTTACTTCTCTTGATCTGGCACCTGGAACAGTGCAGCCTACATGACTGACTCCTGTGGATGCCTAGACTTGGTGGCAGCAGCTAGCGAAGGACAGAAGCCCCTCATATTCTCTAATCAGTGGAGTGACTGTCTCACAGCAAATGCTGTGATATAAAGATATCGTGTTAGGCATCAAAGGTGGTTCAGATCTGATTTAAAGTGTGGGTGGGGCAGACACATAGAGGCCCCACGTAGATACTGTGCTATGTTACACCAGGGACTGAACGTCTGCAGATGAGGGCTTCCAAGAAGCTCTGGTACCAGTCTCCCGTGGATATCAACCACTACATTCCGAATTTATATAGTTTGCCCTAGAACTTGGTTCTACATCTGGACAGGCAGATCAGTTGACAAGTGGTTCTGTATTGAAGCATTGAGTTGCCGCAGTGTCTGTCATTCAGAATGATTTTGTTGATGGATTGGTTCACTTAGCTGATGATTTCTGAGGGTCCCCAAATATGGATGGTGTCAGATTTGTATGGCCTCCCTCCTTGTTCCTGCTCCTGGGATGGTCAGGTGATTTTTCTCTCACAGGAACTTCAGACCTCAGGGGTAGACTGCAAACTTCCAGCCCAATCATCCAATAATAGGTTGGTCTCCAAAGGCCTTTTGTATTTTTGTGGAGTATATAAGTCATGTAAAAGTAAAGACTAGGGAATAATTTGCAAAGGCTTTTGTGTCCACTGCCTGTTTTAAGAAAGAGAGCATATAAACTAAACTAATAAAATGTGTCCCTCTGATTACATTTCTGTTAGTGACTGCCATTCTGAGTTTGACATTTATCTCCATGCATGTTTTATACTAATACATTTTCATCGGAACACATGTTATTTTGTATGATTTTAGAATATATAATGACATTAGATTTTCCTGGAATCAATTGTCTTGTTCATTCCATATTATTCTGTATGCCTGTAGAATATATGCTTTTATGATTATCTTGTGCTTCGAAGGTCTCTTTCCTCTTTGGAATTTCATTTGGGAAGGATTGATAGAATTAGACCATCATACATAATATTATTTAGTATTCTATAAGTTTTCACTGTGTACTTCTTACACATCTTCTAGCTTTATTTTCGAGTGACTTTTTATTGGCCCCTTTGAAAATTACATTTTCAGGTTGCTCTGGACTAGGACTACATTTCCCCCTTTTCCTAGCAACCTTGCTGGGCTCTCATTGGCTTTTGTATTAACATTCTTTACTGTTTGTCAAACCAGATGGGATGTAAGTTTGTGTTGTTGTTTATTTTTAGGAACAGCTCATACAGACACATGGTTTCTCTCAGTCAGACACTGAAATGGAGATGGAAGTGTCAGAAAAATGTGCCAGTAATACATACAGATTAGACTCTGGGTATATGTGTTTCAGGTCACAGGGTCCACAGGGAAAATTTTAATGTCACTCAAGTAGTGAAAGTGACTCCTCCAAGTCAAGGGACTTGGGTGTCAGACACGAGGAAAGCAGAAGGGATTGAACATGAGAAGTCCACTCACAGCTGAGGTCTTTGTTCAGAGCACTCTGGGTCTGGGTCCTTTCCAGCCTCCATCTCCCTGTGAGCCAG